TTTACCCGTGTTTTAAGCAAGCTCAGTAACCTCCAAAACTCTCCTAATTTGAAAATAAATGATCCTAATTGACATAAGCTAAATAGACCTGAACTGCTCTGCAAGTAAATTCAAAAGACTTGTAAACCAACAATGAAAAACCAGCAAGAATATACTAACTACTAAATTAACCCTAATTACCATCAAAGACCATTATGCTCCTAGTTCACTTTCTGTTGAGGCAGTTCAGCAACTCCTCACATGTTTTATACCATTATATTTTGTCTACCTTTCACTCAATAGTCTAAACTTAAAATGGCACCAATCACCAGCCACTGCACAATTAATGAGGTTTCAGTCTTTTGGTCATTTCAATTTTAATACAAACTATGATCTTTTCAAGTTATTAATCAAATATTTAAACATATTATGGATCATCCGTTGTTCTGCAAGTAAATTCAAAAGACTTGCAAACCAATACTGAAAAATCAGCAAGAAATATACTAACTACTAAACTAACCCTAATTTACCATCAGAGACTCTATTATGCTCCTAGTTCACTTTCTGTTGAGGCAGCTGAGCAACTCCTCACATGTTTTATACCATTATATCTTGTCTAGCTTTCACTCAATAGTCTAAACTTAAAATGGCACCAATCACCAGCCACTGCACAATTAATAGGGTTTCAGTCTTTTGGTCATTTCAATATTAATACATTCAATTTGATTGTGTCATAATATTATGGCTATGCTCAAACAATAAACCTAAAATTTCGATGTACTTCTTTAGGTTAAGAGGTATCACAAAGGGGAAATAGATCAAGATACAAAATAAACCCACATCTCTAGCTTGAATCCCAATCGTCAATACAATTCATTAAACCTCAATATTATTTTCATCGACTTTCATCAAAAAAGTGGCATGTGATCCACAATCCTTTTCCAAATCAATCAATCTTTATTGCCATCTATGGGAAGAAGAAACTTTCTCAAAACTAATGTCGTGCAAAGTATCATTCTGCTATGAAGGGACCTCTGAGATTTGACTGTATATCTGACAAAGAATATATTTCTGAAACACTGGTTAAAAGTTTATGCCGAAATATAATTGGTGCTAGGAGATATCAGTATTTATTAGTGCAAACCTTGAAGCCTTGTCTTATTTTTAGCATTATTTTAGTTGTTTATCAGGAGAAAAAGAAAAATAATAACGCAGGAGAAAACAGTATATAAAATTTGTTCATGCATATACCTTCCTCAGGAGGCTCGCAGAAACGATCAATTGCTTTAATGTCAGAGAGTTTCACGCCATCAACACTAAAGAGACCTCCATGAACCACAAAAATTTTCCCATTTATTAAGTGAGCTAAAGGCAGACAACAGAACACTTCTGCAAAGAGCTCCACGAATGTTTCACTCAACTTCGACCTAACCTCACCCTCGAAACCATATATTTTGTTCATGCTCTTGCTCTCATGATTTCCTCTAGAAAGATATATCGCTGGAAAATTCCAAACAGTTAAGTGAGGATAAAACTTGACTTAATCCACACTCTAATAATAAAGATAAAATAACAGAAACCACTAAAAGTTATCTAACTCAGATAGAGATTTAATTATATATTTTAAAAAATAATAGAAAAAATATATCAATCTGATAAAAAGATGAAATGCAGAAGAACCCCTCATTTAGCAGACCTGAAGAAATAGAAAAGGACGTAGATCGGAAAATGAATTCACAAAATATATACATATAAGTAAATGGATGGCCAGAAGCCCCAAACATAAATAACGAAATATTAAATTGTAGAGTAGTGAACATTACAAGTTGCAAAGTCATTGGGAATACAAAAACCAAGAATCTTCACCTGATGGTGACATGCATTTAAATGCAAAAAGTGTGAGGATGACCTCCACAGAGAATGACCCTCGATCCACAAAGTCACCATTAAATAGATAAGGATTCTCTTCTGATGGAAGTCCATTAAGCTCAAAAATATTTAAGAGATCATAAAACTGCACGCATTGTAGAACAAAATACATATCTATGTCACAGATTCTAGAATAATAAAGCAATAAAAAAATAAAAAAAATTTATAACAGATTATGATTGAGGCCAATCTTTACAATTGACAAAAAGCAAGAACCTGCTCCAGCATGCAGGAGTGCTA